TCCTCTGAGGTTAGCAAAGCTGATTTGTGAGTAAAATGGAACCTGGAGTCACCAAGGACTTTGGAGAAGGTGAACATGTGCTGAGGGGGAGAAGCAAAGAGAAGCATAGAGCTAGGTGGGGGTAATGAAGGACTAGGCCACTGGATGGTAGCAAATGGTCACTGAATTTTACAAGGATAAGAAAAATGAGGGAATTTTTTTTAGGTTTCCAACAGTGCAACTATGTTGAGAGATAGGTCTGGCGGGGAGGTCACTTGCTATTGCCTTGTACTTTCCTGTGTCTTCAGCTCTTCTTGGAGACCAAATGATTTTTGTTGAAGAGTGTCTACATTTGATAACAGACCAGACCTGGAAACCTACAGGTTATTTGGCCTCTGGAGCATCTGAATTTATTATGTCACATATCAGGGCCCTGTTAGCAGGTGTCACACCTGTTCTAGACAAAAATCTATCCCTGGATCAAATTAGAGCACAAAAGAGCTATTTTAGTCCCTCAGAGCAAATCCAAAAGGTTTATTTTACACATTTATGAAAGGGTAGAGGTAAGATTCCTCTTGTTACAGTCTGGATTATACAGAAGCAAGGAAGGAAGTGGGAAGATATGGTAGCATTGACTTGGACTTGGCAGTTAATGTGGAGATACAGAAAAGTCGATGGATTCAGCAAGCTTTGGAGATGTGTGGCTTGCTGAGGGACTGAACGGGAATTTTCATGTACTTCCAGAAATTCTGCCAATTAGAAATTCATTGGATTTGCAGTCTTTTCTAAAAATGCAAATAAATTTAAGAAGCTTATGACTCGGGCAGGAGTGTAATTTATTCTGAATTAGTTCCACCAGTTTACTTCTGATATCACCTTGCGGAAGTCAGTTATACTAAAGAGAGGAGAATTTTACTTGGGGGAAAAATGTTTCACATAAGGTGAAAGGTGAGAGGCACTGAAGGTGAGAGTCTTTTGGAATGAGAGAAGCATCAGGGAGCCCACTGAAACTAGAGTGGTATGTCAGGATTGGAGAACAAGAGAACAAGCAAACTTTGGCCTTCTCTTCTTGTAATAGAAACAATCATCACAGCCAGGCGGGGTAGCACAGGAGTGTAATACCAACAACTCTGGAGGCTGAGGCAGGACAATCACAAGGTCCAAGCCAGCCTCAGCAACTTAATGAAACCCTGTCTGAAAAGAAAAAACTAAAAAAGGACTGGAGATGTCGCTCACTGGTAAAAAGCCCTTAGAGTCAATCTTCAGTACAAAAAAGAAGAAAAGAAACCATCACCAGTACCATCTCAGAGAAGTGACTATTTTTGGTCAATGTTTAAAAACAATTTCAATTATGTTATGTCAATGATATTAGTTTATATTTGGTAGCTGGTATGTAGAATTTTGTAAAGCCTCAACTTGTTTAGATATAAAAATGTTAAAGTTTATTATATTCTTTTTTCTATATGTATTCACATGTTATTTTTAAAAAAAATGAAGCTATAGATTCTAAAATGTTCAAAATGTTATCTGTGATTCAAATCTTGGTATATATTTCAAACTTCACATGAAAGCCAATGCTCAAAACTAAGATAAAACTACTGGAAAGAATGAGTTATGGGCAAAAAAATTGGCACACTCCTCACCAAGACTTCTTGGATGGAGAAGCTGCACTAAAAAGAACAAAAACAACAACTCAAAACCCAAGTAAAACATTTCTCTTATGTTTTGTTTTGTACTTGTAGTTCTAATATGGGAAGGCAATTTTTTTTATTAAAAAAAAAGAAAGAAACCAAACTTCACAAAAAGCTTCAGAAAGTATTAGTGACATATTTGGGCCAACTAAACATTGTAAAACTTATTATATCAAAAGGCAAAGCCTTAAATGGCAAGATAAAAATAAAGCCTTGGTGCTAGTCAGTAAAATTTCCATGGATGCATGCCCTTCCATGTGAGTCACAAGTCTAAGGTCAGGTACACTCTGGCTATGAAAGGAACATACTGTGTTAGCCTTAAGTGCTGCCTCCAATCCCTCCTCTGCATCTGGCCAAAACTCTGTCCTGCCTCACTTGCATGGGTCCCAGCCACATTCACCAGTATTTCATCCCTCACTTCTTAGTATTCTAGTCCCTGCCTACTGCTGAAGATAAAGGCTGGAAGAGCAAGACTCCATAGAGAAAAGGAGCATTGAAATGTGGACAACATTATTGTCCACAGCTACACTGCGTATTTCTATAGATGATTAAACTGAAGCAAAATTAAGTTTTAAGCCTAGCTCAAAGTTCTAACTCAGATTATGCTTTAGAGTTAGAACTTGTCAGGTGTTCTCTGAAATTGTTGGAGACACTTCTGTATGCATTTTTCATATTGGTGCATATTTTATAAACAGAGGTACTGACTACTTTTGTTCTCAACTATCTTTTCAGATATTTATGTAGCAGACAGCTACATAAATGAAAGATAGAGATGGTATCTCCCTCCACAGGAGAGGGAAAGTGTGGGTTTTTTTCCTCAATCTAACAAAAATCTGGGCAAAAGGCAGACATATTTACTGCCCATTATAAAAGATCCATACTCCCTAAGCTTAGGGTTCCTCTAGTGAAAGAAAAACAGGAAGTACTGAATTGTCACCTAGCTGGTGAATGGGTGTAAATGTTGGGAGTTTGCCTATTGCTATTGCTGTAACTGAGAATATTATTTGTCTCTGACCTAGGTATCTCATGTCTTCTGACAACACCTATAAAACTGTGGCAGGTTGACTTGTGAGCTTGGAAGCAGGGTAAAATTTCAGACCATTTGCAGTTTTTGACAGAAACATAAAATCTCAGTGATAAAAAATCATGCAAAAAGAGAAAATATCAAGTACTGTGAAGTTTGATGCTTGATTTTTCAGATCTAGGATGATGTAATTACCAGGTTTTGAGCATTAGTGATGATATGTAACATGCTTTATTCTTCAAATTAAATTATATACACATATATACATGCATATAGAATTTACTTGATTTTTTAAAATTAAACATATGAAAAGGTTTATTTTTGTGGCTTTATACAATAAAGAAAGCCAACAACTGAAATTAAGTCACACAGTTAATAAGTGATGGATTTTAAGTCTCTGGTTTCAAAATTTGTGTTTTGTCAACCTCCAAATAAAACACAGCTAAAATGGCATAGGTCATTTGGCTATAAATAAAATGTCTAGATTATATAGTGTAATGTTTAGTCTTACCATTTTTCTTTTTTTTAACAGTACTTAGGTACTGACATGCTGTTATCTAATCTGAATTCAATATTAAATATTCAGCATTCACAATAAACAAAAATGTTTTTTATTTTTATGAATATTGAGTTTATATTATATATTGTGTAATCATAGTAGCATCTACAACAAAAGCTACTGTTTATAAAATTTAGATCAGAAAATAATGCTGCAAATACATTCCTTTAAAGCTACACATCTAAAAAAAATCATCAGCTAGAGAAAGATAATATGGTAGTAGAAATAATTCCATTTAAAAGGCTGTGTATTCCATGAAACTATCTTGTTAGTCACAGAGACAAATAGAAAATTAACATATTAGACAGACTGGGAAAAGGACTACATATGTCTAGACTTTATAGATGTTCTTGAGAATGAAAAATATTTAAAACAAACGAAGACAGAAAATACTTCCTAATTTTATGGAAGCAAAATGTAAAATGTAGGCTTATATAAGACTTGCTTGGGGAATTTTTTTAAATCGATAATCCACTTCAAACCATAAACAGGTTTTCACTTCTATGATTCCATTCTGCTAACTACAATGCTAAAAAATTTAATGTTCTGAATCAACCATTTTGAAACATAAATAACAACAGAGGAAAACATACTTTAAAAATCCACTGAAGGCTCTGTTCAAAATGCAAACAATATTTTTTCAGATTGCTTTAACTAATAGAATGCTGCATATTTATTAATATAATATTAATGGAAGTAAATTACTTCTCAGAAAATTACGTTTTTATAAAATTAAAAATGACCCAGTTAGAGCTTACCAAAAAATTATAGTCAATTATAATTGTCATATAAAACAATAATTACAGAACCAAATTTATAGAGCTATTTATTTAGAAGTGTATCTTAAATTGAAAGTTGAATTACCAATTCATTTATATTTTACTTCACTATAAATGACAGGAGGAGACTATAGTCCTAACTGCAGAGCATGCCAAAGGGGTTTAGGTTTGCTGTGGATAAGGAAATCCCAGGGAGAGGCTGATAGGCTAATACATATCATCAGTTTTCTGACCACTAAGACATAAATTATTTAAAAAAAAAACAGAAATAAAGATATGCATATCTAAATTCTAATTATGTAGTGAAATACCATCTAGGGGCATAAACTATTAAATCTTAAATGGATTTTAAATAAGAAATCCGAGGAACCCCTTCACCAATGAGTTTTAAAGTAGGCCATAATTTTGTCCGTGAGGGTTTATTTCATCTATAAAGGCTTATATACCTTCTGATGTTTTTTCCCACTGTGGGAATCTATGCAGAAACTGGAGGAGGTCATTTTTATCCCAAATTCCTAATATAGTCAAGACACAGAATTTATTCATTCAGTATCCTTTCTTAGACATGTACATTCTAAGGGATTTGAGAAAGGAGAAAAAAAATTTAAGATCAGAATTACTTAATCATAAAAAAACAATTTAAAAAAACACAGAGTTTTATATAACTAAGAACTCTAAAACAATTGCTTTTAAGACAAAGCAGCAACTATTTTAAAGACAAGCAGAAAAGAGGAAAAGAAATACACATCTAGAAAATTAGAAGGAAAATGGAAAATAAAAAAATGCCATTGCTAGGCTTATTATCATGATCTTCCCAACAGCAAAACCTGTGGATTATAGAAGATATGGAGATAACAGAACTGAGAGACAAAGGACCTAAAGGTGGTATTCCGAGACCTGGTAGCTTGGTGTCTGCTTAAGACACATATGTCACGAGTTTATACACAAGGAAACAAAATGAAGATTACCTGGAAATCTTCTAATTATTTGACATAATCCTTCCTTTCTGCAAAGCTGTTGCTGTATTTCTGGCACTATATTTATCTGAAAAGAACAAAAAGGACTCTATTGAGTTAGGTATTCATAAATGGTAAAGCAGAGGAAACACAAAAACTTAGAGTCTAAATGTAAAGCACAGTCTACACCATCCACACCCAACCTTCAAATTGAGTCTACATTCATATTCAGAATATGAAAATGATTTGATAACAAAAAATGTTGCCCTTAGAAATCTTCAAAATATTTGGGAATGCTTTTGAAAGCTGTTTTTAGATTTCAAAGTTGTTGCTTCATATAAAAGGAAATACTTATGGCAAATATAGTAACACAAAAAACTTGACTGTTTCAAATTTTGCATTGCAAAAAATAGTACTAAAATACCTCAAAGTTAACTAAATTCCAGAGATCCAGAAGCCTTCAGTGATTTGCATCACACAGTTATTCAGTGGTAATTCAGTGTTAAATCTGTTTCAAAACTTTGCATTCAGTCTTCATACTGAAGGGCATTATTGCTTTCAGACATGAAAGCCAATCACCACAAATTTCTATTTTAAGCAAAATTGCTTCTTAGAAAGACTTGTAAGTTCTATCATAAATTCAAATATAGTTTTTTTTTTGCTTACAAAGAAAAGATGCAAACAAATTTAATTCTCTCCTTTTGTGAATTTACAGATTAATAAGCTGTCATCAACTAAATCCCCAAACTAAGGCTACATATGGTAAAACCTTGTTAAAACCAACGAAACGAAATCCATGTGAATTGGCTTAAAAATCAGATTCATTTTGGAGACATTATTGATTTCCTTCTAACTAATTCATCCTAACTTAACAAACCATTGTAGTTTCTCCATTGTGCCCTGCTGGCATGACTAGATAAAAGGAACTCAGCTCTTCTTGAGGAAAAAAAAAAAGAGGACACCAAAAAACATGGGTTATAGTATCACTTTTGCATTTAATAGAATTGTCACATTGAGTGTATCTTTCTGCCTTATTTCAGTTTATTCTTTGTAAAATAAAGCATTGAGAGCGGTCTCTGAGTTCTACTTCGGGTCTAAGATTTTATCAATTCTATAATTAGCTGTAGTGTTTTAAAAAATGATTCATTAACAACAGTGCTTTGAAATATTGCATCAATTAAATATCCTCTAACATTTGCAATCTTATTAACCTGTTTATTTATTTAGTAAACTTCCTTTCCCTCAATAATAGGTAGAAGAAGAACAAACTTTAGCCCAGATCCTATATGAATGAAGCTTGGGCTTCAGCAGAACCCACTACTGCATTAGGAGCACCCTAAATACTGTATTTTTGTTAAAAGTCTACAAGGATACCAAAATCTAAGTTGCTTACACTCATTTGCAGTGGGAATTGGGAAAAGGCTGTCAGGGCAGTAGATTTTTTGTTTTAGGGTTGTATATATTTCTCAAATTCAAAAATGAGAGTTCAGGGTCTGATGGTAAGAAAATAAGGGCTCCCATAAAGCTCTGGATGCTTCAATTCAGAATTCTCGAGAGGAGCTGGAGGGACTGGCAGAACACTGCTAAGGTACTGAGAATCCAGAATGGAAGTGATTGTGGTTGTTTAAATGAACACTCAAAGTCTGTTTCTAAATTAGATTCTGACAAGCTTTGAAAGTCAATGAAATTGAACCATTTTCTCCACATAAGGCAGCAATCACACCATTGCTAGTGACTTGATAGAAATACTCAGAAAGAGATCCAGTACTACGTAAGCAGCATCAAAGGGCAGAGACTGGCTCCATTTCTTTTCTAATTCTCTCCTAAAGGGTTCAGAGTAAACGTGCTGCACTGTGGATGCAACTGTGTTATGCCATCCCATCCTATGCACACTGAAGGGAATTGAGGAGTCCTGGTGAATGAACAGCAATAACTACAGAATTTATGTAGATACAGCAATGGTAGAATACGGCTAGCCAGTATTTCAGACACAAGGATAGATTACTGGGTCTTGTCAAAGAGATGACTTGATGTGAGGCACAGGTTCAGGAAGATAAACTGAATCAGGAATAGCAAAGGACTTGCTTCAAAAAATCAAAGTCAAGCCAAGTGAAGCACCATCCTATACGTCTTCCTCCTATTTCCCTTAGTCACCCCATGCACACAACCCAATGACTTCTCCATGTGCTCTTTCCTCCAAAGTATATCTTTAGAATTCTGAAGAGTGGGAGACGATATAATCGTGGTGACATGTGACACCAGAAATATCATCTCTATTCAGCTCTGGAACTGAGCAACAAATTAAGCAGTTAAATGAGCAACTCACAAAAATTGACATTAGACCAGTAGGGTAGAGGACAGGGATTGAGGGATAGAGAGAAGGGGAGCGGGTAAGGACATACTAGGGAATGCAATCTACCAAACTATTCAAGTTGACATAGAAATAAACCACAATGATGTATATATATGATATATTTACATATCTGATATATATTCCACTGTTGTAGTTGGGATGTGAGGTATCCCCCCAAATCTCCTGTGTTTCTATAGGAATATTCAGAATTAAAAGAATTGAAGTGTAAGAGCTGTAAACTAATCAGTCCATCCTAGTTTAAATGGGCTGAATGGTAACTAGGCAGGTGGGGAATGGCTGGAGGAGGTGGGACACTTGGAAGCCTGCCCTGGAAGGGTACATCTTCCTAGAAGCCCTTTCTCCCCGCTCTCTCTAGGCTTCCCTGCTATGAGCTGAGCAGCTTTCTCCACTGAGCCCCTGGAACATGTTGCTTTACCTTGGGCCCAGAACAATGGAGTCTGCTGTCTATGGACAGAGACCTCTGATACCATGAGCCAAAGTCAACTTTTCCCTCTCCGAGTGGTTCTTGTCCCATATTTTGGTCATCACAATGGAAAAATTAAAACTTTCACTCATTAAAATATCAATAGAAAAGAAATCAATAGAGTTGAGCAAGCAGATCTGAGGAGGGAGAAAGACAGGGAAAGGGAAGATTGGGGAATGAGATTGATTAAATTATGTACATATATGAATAAAACATAATGTATCCTATTATTATGTACAATCACAATGTAGCAATTTAAAGCAGAAATAAGGAGCAACTGAGTACAAAAAGGTGAAAACATTCAAGGGTCATGGATTATACAGTGTTCCAATCCAACCCTTTGGATTATTAAAGCTAATAATGTTCTCCTATATCTTAATGCCTTTTGTTTTTAAATTTATCACAAAATATATAATTTTGCATCATTACTAAGTGGAATATCATCAGAGTTTTAATTTGGATTAACTGACTTATATAGTGAAGAGTTTCTTCAGTTTAACTTTGCAATAATTTTCATAGCTTTTACTTTATTTCTAAAGAGCAATTTTAGGTTCACAGCAAAACTAAGCAGAAGGCATAGAGATTTGCCAAATATCCCATGCTCCCAAGTTTCAACATCCTCAGCACAAATGGTACATTTTTTACACTTGATGAACCTACACTGACATGTCATTTTCAGTCAAATAATCATTTTAGTAAATACCAATATTACATTGGGTTTGAATGCTTTAAATACAAATAATACAGTGTCTGTATTATACATAGACTGCAATTTTTCTAACTTGGCACAAAACTTTTTTGAAAGGTCTAGTACTCGTATATAAAATAATAATGATATTCATACCCTGGGATATTTCCAAGAGATGAAATTGGGAGAAATAAAATGCTCATTTTAAAAGATTTTGATCCCAGCACACCTTCCACAAACTTAATCTGTGATAATATGTATTAATTTGTATTCATTAACTGTTGTCAGAAGCAAAAGAAAAATCACTCTTCTTTTGAGACTTATTTCATTAACAAAAGCAAAAATTACAATGAGCATTTAGAAAGTGTGCATAAATCAGAAAAAAACTAAAACCATACTAATATCATTAACTTGTTAAGAAGAGTAGACATTTGGATTTGAATTATTGATAAACTGAAAAAAGTACCTAAGAATCTAGTCACTGGAATAATGAGAGTAACAAGCACATAACATTATCTCTTAGGAAACTGTTTTTTTTAATATATCCATAGACATATTTATGACTTTTATCAAAAATTAGTCCTTCTCCCAAACTATCCAATGTCACCAGCAAAGAAAAGAATTAATGAGAAGAAATTTTTAAAAAGCTAATCAAAGAAAGAAAGGTTTTTGTTTTTGGTTTTTTATTTTCCCCCTTCCCAGGTGTTTCACAATTATCGTTCCACAAATTTCACCTGACAGAGCCCAGCATGCTTTACAATAACAACCATTTCTGTAGTTCTCAGTGTGCCAAGTACTAAAAACAGCATCCTGATTTTAGGGACTACTAATCCTACAAACATTTAAAGCTAGAAATGAATCCCTCTGCTTTGCAACACCAGCACCAGTCTGTTTGAGATGAGATAGAGCCCCAGTTACTAAACTTAGTGTTACCCAAATAGTGGCTCTCACTTCAATTTCAATGTTACACAGGCCAAGACAGTTTTAAATTCATGTTTCAATCTTCCTGACTAGAGAGACTCATGGCCATTTCATTATCAATTACAGATATTATGATCACTTCCATTAAGCACTAAAATTACAAAGTTCTAATGTGGCTAGTAATCCTTGTTCAAACAGGTGCCCTTTTTCTGTTCCCTCCAAGGTCATTGACAATTCCACAACATCCCCAGCCAAGTTGAAGCAATTTCTGTTTTGACTATTTATGTTATTTACATAAATGTGTCACGGTTCATAAAGCTTCAAATTATTCACTCTCCAAAATGATAGTGATCTACATGTATCATTGAGAATTTATGTATTCTTTAAAAATACTTATTAGGTTAGGCTGCAAGTTTAGTGCCCAAATACTTATTTTGAAATGTTCTATTGATATGATTGAGAAATCAGAAATTTGAAGTCAGCTGCCTCGGTGTGAATCTTGGTTGCTTTATTAATTAGCTATGAGCCCTTACACAAGTTTCTTAGCCTCTCTGTGTTTCCAGCCTCATCATCTGTAGAGAATGCACATGAATAAATATGTAAGCACTTAGAACGGGGCTTGGCACATAGTAAGGTAATGTA